AGGAAGTTTTTCGAACTAGATTGAAGAAACGAAATAGATTATTGCAAGATTTTAGTTGAATAATATACGCACAGACTACAATACTGGTATAGTCAAATCTTGTCGATGAATATATTGAGGAAAAATCTCGGTAGAATTTTAGATGTAAGCATCATTTACTGTATTTATTGGGATTTTGTTGACGATCTCGCGATTGCTATTGCATGTTTTTCACAGGGGTGTAGGTGTGGTTGTAGGCAAATAATGGATTTACCATCACACCCACATCCACGTGCCCCATCGACCCTTACACTCAAACCCACACTTTACACCCTCAGATCTTCTCTAACAATGAATGATACATTGTGATAAACATGAGTTGAATTTTATCATCTGTTACTTTTTCGAAGTGTATTTCACCATCGCATGAGATGTTCATACATAATAAACAATGAAAAAAAGTTCATTCAAACACGACTGCTAATGAGTATTGAAAAAAATAGCCAGAAAAGTTCTCCCCTCCCTCTCTGAACACCTTTTTTAAACCAATAGGGAGAAAATAACCGTAGTATATTTAAAAGTGCAACGGTTTCAGGTAAAAGTTTTTGCCAGGTTGAAGAAAATCTTTCTGTGTATCATCCGAAACGATTGAACTGGTGTAAAGTTCATTTTTGCCATAGAACAGACGTTGAAAAAATGTTCTTATTTTATTGTCATAATTAATTGCTAAACAATATCTAACCATTATGTTCCTATATCAGTTTGTAGTATTCGTGATGGTCTTTCAAATGATATATAATTGAATAACATCTTCCCTTATAATAATAAAAATATAAATGTGATAATGTAAAGATGAATTTTTCGAAATCCACAAGTAAGATATTTTATTAAAAAAAGAAACATACTCTGGATTATAAATACACAAAATATTCTGATTACACAAAAATCTTATTTAACTCTGATGTATCTGTTCTCCACCACTTTTTATCATTTCATTAAGTCTTTCAGGAATTTCATCAATCATCTTTTTACAATCATCATAAGTTATTTTTTTCCATTCTTTGTTCAATCTATTTTTTAGCTGTTGAAAACTCGAAAACTGTTCTCCACGTATTTTTTTCTTCATTATTTCCCCAACATTTTCGATGGGCCATACGTCAGCAAATTTTGGATCACCTTCTTGAGGTGAAATTCGATCACTAAATAATTCATCTATAGTTTCTAATACAATCTTTGTTCATTGTTTTGTACCAGCGTCATCTTGAAATATAAAATTTCTTCGGTATACGTTTTGAATTTCTTTATAACCAATTTCTTTAATAAATTTACCATATATATGACTGTTCATATAATTTTTTTTCTTGATTTGTCCCTTACTTATTTTTGTAACCATGATGTGACATCAAATGGACCATTTTTGGAGAAAAGGCCTTCATAAGAAATATCATCCCAAAAAACAATTCCACTTGCAAACTTATTTTTTGGTCGATTACGAATTGCTGACGGTGTTTCTTCAGCAGATTTTGCTCAAATACCTTCTTTGTATGGATTTGAGAGTGATTCTAAGGTGAACTTCCCAGAAAAGTCAGTGTTGATTATCATATCTCACCTCCAGTTTCTTGATCTTTTCGTAATATCAAAATTTCTTCTTAATTTCTTGGCAGATTGAACACGTTGTATTTTGTTATCATGTGTTTAATTTTGGGTTCTTTTCTTTTTAAACCATTTTAATCCTGCTGATTTCGTAATTCTATAAACCGACCATGGTGATGTTTTCCAACCTTTTCGTCTTAATTTTGCTGATACATTTCTTACACTAGCTTTGTTTTTTATTTGGGTTTCTTTTAATACCAAGTTTCGGTAAGCAGTAGTAGTAGTTGGTGGTCTACCAGATCTTTTTCTATCAAAAATTGATCCTCTTGCTAATAAGTAATTGATTTTTTTCATTAAAGCATGTCAATTTAAATTTGGTGGATTGTCTGACTGTTCGAAGAAATTTGCAATATCAGATGCCGTCCAACTAGAATTTTGACGACTTAATAATAATACAAGTGGTCGAAATAATTCTTCTTCATGTAGTCGAGCTGACTTACGAGACATGATATCGAAAGAATATTGAAAATGTCGAAACAAATATCAAGGAGAAAAAAAGTCAGATCAAACTGAATTAAAAAAAAACAAAAATAAAAAAATAATAGAAACCGGTATGTACTTCTTTTCGTTAGTTTATTTGTGTCTAATCAGAAGCTACTGCTGAAATGATCAGTCAGAGTATAATAATAACCGTTTTAAATAAGAAAAAGAGATGTGAACATTGCCGTTAAAACGAACATTTTTTCGTGCTGCACATAACATACTTTTTTTCATCACATACATGATGTGTTCATATATTTTATCCATTTCAGACCACTTATTGAGCATATAAGCTTAACTCAACATGTGACTAGTGGCTCGTAATGAGCGTCGAAGAAACTATCAAGATAACTAGTTATTGCTTATACTTACGTTATTTCCTATGTAAATACGTTCAGCACTTTATTAGAAAATCTTTCAAAATATCTTACTTGTCGATTTCAAAAAATTCATCTTTATATTATCATGTTTATATTTTTATGATTATAAGGGAAGATGTTATTCAATTATATATCATTTGAAAGGCTGTCACGCGAATACTACAAACTGATATAGGAACATAATGGTTAAACATTGTTTAGTGTGTCCATATAAACGAATTTTGTCGCGTCCCAAAACTTATGAAACACCCTGTATGGACATTTAGTAAAAGTTAGCTTCCATGAAACGCAGTATAACAAAAAAAGAAACAAAAAGAGTTCAGTCCATGTAAACAATTCCATAAATTGAAAAATATCTGCTTATAGAAATAAATCAATTGGACTAAAAATCTGAGTTAAAAAATGATTTAGTCTAATTTTTATAATATTTCCGCGCAGGTTTTTTGTACTAATAAACTTGATGTCTTTAACTGCTCTTCTTGTTGATAATCATTGATAGCTAATAAGTATTGTAAAATTCTTGTTGTTAATGAAATGTTACCAATACATCTTGATTTATCTTTTATAGGATCGAACGATAATTTCAACACTAGATTAACGATCATGTAAATAGAAATATTAATCAATACATGAAACATTAATATATTAAAAGCTAGAGAAAAAAATCAGTTTTACCATTAAAAATTTCTATGCGATTCTGAAGCTATTACATTAGAAAAAAAATTAAACGAAATTTTTTTCAATTAATTATTCCCTTCACAATAGAACCTTTAAAAATTATTTTATCATTTTTCAATAAAAAATTCTACTTTTAAAAATTTCAATTTTAAAGGCGGCTAATGGAGGAAAAAATGAGAACATACGACAAACACATCAGAATATAATAATCCTCCTACATAATAATAAGTCACTTTTGGACAACTTTGAAAAAATTTCAGATAGTTCTTATGGATGAATTCAAATGTCATTTTATCTCATTAAAAATATTCCTTAATTTTTTCGTGTATTGAAGATAATCGCCACACAAATTTAAACACCTAATCGAACAAATTCACAAATGATTTTGCTTGTGTGGTCAAGAATAGACGTTTAACGATCATATCGTCAATCAACATAGATACAAGTTAAACAATATTTGATTAAAACGACTACAATAAGCTATTACATAGAATGAGCAAAAGCTATATAGGAATGCGAGGGACTCGTTTTAATTTGCGGATCTCGGCAGCGTAGATCATGAGCGAGACCAGAAGATATAAATTTATTCTTAAATTTTTCACATTTTTCCGCATATTATATTTTGATTACACCATTTTCTGATTGAATTAATCGAAATAGAAATATTTAAAAACACACCTCGAAACAAAATACAAAAAAAAAAATACTTTCTCCATAGCTTTCCTTCTTTATAAAAAATTGTTATTTTCTTAATAAAGGCCTCTTTTGATGAAAAAAAATCATTAAAAAAATTTTCAAAACTAATGATGCCGATCGATTCCTCGTCACCGAAAACATTTGGTCAAACTTTATTAGATATGTGTTTTTTTGACCTTGACACATAAATACCCACATACAACCGCATTTTATTTCATATGACCCTCCCTTCAGTCGAGGGAATATGTCATGCTTTATTCAATCTTGTACTCTGTGGCCATCGATTAATAGAGAGTAAAACAACTGAACACGACCTTCGTTAGCATAATTCATATGTTATGCGCTGGTTAATCTTGTGTTCTACAGCCACCTATTGCTAGGAGTAAAATAATCGAAGAAGACCTTCCTCAGAATGATTCACTTGTATTGTGATCCTCTAACATGATGCTATAGGCAACTTTGGGTTTAGATATGAGCGAAAATGAATAGATCAATTGTTATTATTATATATTTTTCCAGTTGACATTCATCGTGAGACGTATCGCTATATTATTGGTGTAATGAGAACCATATATATGAATAGAAAGCTATTAATTAAAATGGTTCCTTAGTACAATGATATTCTATGGCGTGATCCAGAGGTGTACATCGCTCTGAAATATTTAGCATATTTGGACAAAGCTATAATTATAATCATTCATGGATTTTGTGATCTAGGACTGTCTGAAGGGCTTTCACATTGCACTTTTTGATGAATTACATAGTTGAAGAGACAGTCCTGGTTGAAACTAGTCACTGGTAACGAATTGATTACTGAGTAGTTAAATGGTGCACTAGGCTTCCTTCTAAGGAACTTTTTTAAATAGAATTTTTCTCAACCATGTTCACCTAGCATATGAGATGTTCTATTTGAGTAACACACAACCATCACTTTCAATTAATTGAGACATTTGAATAGAGTTATTATTAGTTTTATTTATTTTTGAGAGGATTTATTTCTTCATAATAACGACAGAAGTTTTGCCTCACAGTTAACGATATATATGAGAGGATAGGTTCTTGCTAGTGTTCGTTTGCCATGTAATTCATCATTAGATCATCAGCTTTACGTCTAATTCAAAATGTTGACTATGGATTGAACAGGATTCTCGTGAAGATCAATCAGTTCCTGATTGATTTCCAAATACATGATGCTTGCGATAGTTTACTTCAAGATAAGTCTTCAATTTGAACACAAATGTTGCTGTATCTATTCATAAGATACACGATCAATGATATGATATTGTGTTTAAGATTGACCATTTAGTTTACAACGAACATGAACACATTTTAAGTAATGAGCTGTTGTTAAAAATTGAACAAGACATTGATCAAGTGACTTCGACCCATGGAGTAAAATATTGAAGGAAACGGACTGCGTAACGCGTTTCCAAGATTGTAGCATGCGTTTCGCAACGTTTTTGCAATATAGGACGCGTTTCGCAGCATTCTTACTTACATAAAATGCATTTTGCCACAGTCGTTTTTTGAAACGATCCGAAACGCTTTTTTCAAGATTGCGTTTCGAGGCGTTTCCGAATTAAAATGCTGTCGAACGCATTTTTGTCGACAGGCGACTCGTTCCACAGATACAAATTGGGGGAAACGTAAAACGCGTTTCTTTTTCAAATGTGTGTTGCATTGTTTTTGCTTGGAATGATGCAAAATATATCCATTCTGCATACAGAATCTGCAAAAATTCACCAACACAAAGCATAGGAGTTAAGCAAAGTAAATTCTTTAAAATTACTTTGGAAATGATATGAAATAGCACTTGAAAGTTTTGCTCCTTGCACTATTTTTGTACGTGAAAATCATGACCCAGGCTTTTATGAAGGCAAGACTAAAATCAAAGTCTTGGAAATTTTTAGACTGCTAGGCTGTTATCGAGACCTAATTCGAAGTTAGACTAATGTAAAACATCAAAGTGTAACAAAAAATATATTCTTCTTACTTAACCCTTGCCGTACCGGCCTATTTTAAGTACTATATGGACAATATATATTTTCATAAAATATTTTTTTGTACTTTGGGATACTCCCCTGAGGAAATATGCTATTTTCATATTCGATGCAATAAAAGAAATTACTAGAATGACATTTTTTATTTGCAGCAAGTGTTACAAAAAATACGTTTAACAGAATGTTCATCACAAACGAACGCAGAACAAACACTGCATTGAGTTGATGTTTTTTTGTCCTTTGAACGTTCACAAAAAGAACATCTTTTTCGTTTTGCTTGAGCAGAATTGTCATTTATGATTGATATATTTCTCTTTATTACAGGATAACCGACGATAGCTAATGCATTTTGAATATCTGTATTCAGAAATTTCGAATTTTTTGAGCGAAAATCCAGCTGATGCGACGCTAAAGCCATTCCTAATTCTTCGAGAAATAATCGACGTTTATGTTTTATATTTTGATTCCATTGAGGATTCTTTGTTTTCCAGACGATCATTGCGTTTATAGCAGCGATGTCTATCATTCCAAAAAAGATACAAAGTGGCCATCGCTTTGTACTTCTTTTCACCTATACAAAATAAAATGCAGAAGCATAAAAAAAATATTTTTTTACCGTATATTTGTGACATAATTGATCAATTGTGTCAACAGCTCCTTTTGTTTTATTATAATCCAAAATAATAATTGGTTTACCAGTTTGATTATCCACTTGGCTATCGTGATGTTTGGATGAAAGTAGTAAAACGGCCTTGTTGTATTTAGGTACAAATGAAACTATAGTTAAACCATCCTGAAAACCAAACAGCGAAGAGCCAACTTCGTGATTTTTACTTGACTGGAATTCTATAGGTATTTCCGGTTTATTTTTTCGCAATGTTCCTATAAGAGATAAATTTTTTGCTTGAAGTTCTTTGGCTAATGGAACACTTGTAAAAAAATTATCCATTGTAACATTTCTGCTTGAACCATAAAGTGGTTTGAGCAATTCTAAAACTACTCTGGCACCTATTTGGGTTTGTCTTTTTTCCGTCGGTTGTCGTCCAAGATAAGGAAATGCATTGAATACGTAATGTGAATCTACATCAACACATAACCAAAATTTTAATCCATATTTATCAGGTTTCTTGGGCATATACTGTCGAAAAGGACATTTTCCACGAAATCCTAATAGTTGTTCATCAATAGTGATATCAGATTCTGGTGTATAACACTTTTGCATATTATCTTGAAAATAAGACCAAACTTCACGAATTGCGGCAAATTTATCTGTTTTTTTTCTTTCTTCTCGTGTTTTTTTGTAGTCGAAACGTAAACAAGCAATAATCTTTTGAAAACGACTTCTTGAGATGGTAGCTTTGAAGATCGGAGATTCTAATGAACTTCTTCTCCATAAACATTGTAAATCTGTCCTCGATTTTCCTAATAAACCAGCAAGTAATAAAAGTCCAATAAAAGCTTTTAATTCAATCATAGCTATTTCTTTTGATTTTTCAGTGGAAGTGACGCTTTGACTATATTCGATGTTTGAATAAATTAAAATTTTTTCAAGCATTTTTTCTGGTATAAAAGAAAGAAATGCATCTTCAATTGATGAAATATTTGCAGTAACTTCGGTCAATCCAGCTTGTATAATATTATTATTTGAATAATTTGTTTTCGTTGAATAATTCGGATTGACAGACAAGTCATACCAGATTTGGAATTATATAAACTCTGCCAAGTAGAATTATCATTTAATTTAAGATTTTCTAAATCAATTTCATCATCATCATCCGATGTTTGACTTTCATGATCTTCTGTTTCCGAACCACTATTTTCATCGTCAAAATAATCAGAATCATTTTCTTCTAATATGGAACTGGTCATATTCGTAATTGCAATACCACACACAGTTAGATGCAGATTATTTGAGAAAAAACTTTTATATAGAAAAAGAAGGTAAATCGTATATTGGATCTACAACGATATAAGTCATTTTCCTTTATGATTGGATAGCTATAAACCATTCAAAAATTCCTTTCAAAAAATCGAAAATTTATACCCATTCAGATAAGTAAATGAATCATTAGAATATCTTTTGAAACTTTTTTTTCCTTTCTCTCATATATTTGATAGATACTTAAGACATAGTTTTGTATCAGGGGGTTGAATCGATATGGAAAATAAGTATATTCCCTTTTAGATGAAACGACATAGATCTACTCTTAAGCGATGCTAATAGCTTAAAAAAGCTGAGAAAAAACAATATTTTTAGCATATTTGTATATTTTTCAGGTTGGGGTCAGAAATGACCCCGGCCGGTACGGCAAGGGTTAAAAACTCATTTCACCACGTTTTTATTGAAAGAAAACGTGTTTCGTAAGGTTTACTTAAGAATTGTTTTCGACTTGTCCACGGAGGGAGATGATTCCGTCACGCTCGTTTGTAATGAATGAGAAGTTACAGACAAATTTGTAGTGTCTCATTTTGACAAGCACAATTTTTTGTCCAAGATTGCAAATGCATTGGATTCTAGAGGTCGAGTCATTTGTATGAAATAAAACAAATAAAGCATGACGGAATCACGTTTTACGTGGACAGGTCGTTTTAAATATTGAGCATTTCGAAAAGATTTAGTAAAGACTGATACTAATATAATTAGTACAGTAACTCTCTTTGGTTATTTGTGAACAAAAGAATTATCGCGTTATCTATAATTTGAATAAATATTAGTTTGAGTTCATACTCGAACTAATTGATAATAACTAATGATACTGTGTACAATACTAGTAAACATGATTTTAGTTTGTACATTGTTGAAGTAAGAGTGACTTTTTAATAAAAGAGATTCGATTTACAAAAGAAAACTCCTTTCATTTATTGATGTAATTGGATAAAACGATGACGGATTTACATTTGCAAAAATCTATTAATCAAGAAAATAAATAAAAGATTAAATTTTAAATTTTTTAAAATTTATATATAAGAAATTTAATTTTTTATATATTAAATACAGTGTAAATCGATTAAATTCGTTTCTATTGTGTATCTAAATTTAAATCTGAAAGAGTTTAAATAAAAAATGTATTAAGAAAAGACCACACTTGTAGTTGGACATAGGCACCAAAGAAATGATAATTTTTAATTCAGTGGAATGGAAACTGAAAATCTAATTTAGTAAGTTTACGCGGGACTCTAAACGACAGTAGAATAAACACTTATATCATTAGATTATTTTAGTTGAACGGTTTGTATACATGTCTTATACTCCTATGTTCTCGTGTTCGAATCCGTGTCTTGACTGCATCAAAATTCATGTAAGTTATAGTTCTAAAGGCCTATGAAAAAATGTAAACGAACACATAAATTGTACCTGCAATTCAAGATCTATGAAGTCATTGACGATTTTCAATTTTTTTTCCATCTAGAATTTACGACACCACAGTTTGAGAAACGCTGCGAAATTTTTCACAAAAACAATCGTTACACAGCGTTTGTTTTAGCAGATGTGAAACGCGTCAAACCGGTCAGCATTAACGCGTTTCGCAGCTATGGAAAAATGCGTTTTCAGAACGCGTTTTTTTCGCAGAAATTTACACCATGGGCGAACATTACATACTGATTTTATTTCTTCATATATTCTTATCGAACTCTTTTTCTTGAAAAAGTCTTGACGTTGTGTGAATGCAATCAAACCTTGAAGAGTTTGTCTCGTCTTTACTTTTAAAAAGATTTTTTTGAGCATTTGAAGATCTTATCTAATACAAACTTTGATTGAGTTTTGACTACTTTCATGTCATGTTAAAAATTTACCAGAGAATGCTTTTATCCAGAATAACGAATTTACATACAATTACTAATTCAAGGCGAAAATTTTACAAGCAGCTAGTCTTCTTATTTTTAATTACTTCATTCAAAGTTTTCTTCTGCTATTTCGCCACAATAAATATTCCTACATTTTCCTTTTTAAGATACTTTGTCTTTTACATTTAATCATCACTTATACTTGCTTTAAAACTTTTAATAAATACCTTTTATGAAAATACAACTAATATATGTGAATTTATCGAGATTATCGTTTTCCAACCGAGGCCAATGATTGCGACGACCTAAACGGATCGTATTTCATCCGTTTGGTAGCGTCTGTATTACGATCGTATCACGCCATGTTGTATACAGTGAAACACAGCCATCGTATACATCGAAAACCGCGCAGTAATACAGCAGTGTATAGGTGTATACGATCAGACACGACAACGTTTACCGCCAGATGTCACCATAGACGGGCGTACTTGGTGTAATATAGAAAGACGAGAAACCAGAATTTCGGCCCATGGAATTTTCGGCTTGAACTTACGGCTCGGTCCGAAATTTCGGTGATTTTTTGGGTCGGACCAGAAGTCCACAAGGAATTTCGGCCCATGTCCTCATTAACCCTAATATAAAAAGCCTAATTTTTCAAAATTAGTTGCTAGACATCGTAGCGTTGAGCAACACCCCATAGTGCTCAGCGATATGATGTAATGCTGAGCAGAACGTCATAGTGTTGAGCAGTAGGACGTTCCACTCAGCACTACGTCACGGTGCTTAGCAGTATGATGTAGTGCTGAACAAGACCTCATAATCTTCAGCATTATGGTGTAGGTGTGCGTGTGAGTATGTGTGAAGTATGGGGTACTGTGGGTGTGGATTTGGGTGGGATATGGCGTGGTGTGGATGTGAGTACTGAAGGAAGAGACATCCACGCCTGACACCCTCTGCTCAGCACTGCGTCATACTACTCAGCAGTGCATCACACTACTCAGCACTATGCCACACCTCTCAGCAATATGATGTCTTGCTCAGCAGTACGCGGTACCGCTGAGCACTATGACGTCCTGCTCAGCACTACGATATATCGCTGAGCATTATGGCGTCTTGCTCAGCACTACGATGTCTACCACGTAATTTTAAAAAACTAGGTTTTCTATTTTATGGTCAATGAGGTCATGGACCGAAATTCCTTGTGAAGTTTTGGCGGACCCGAAAAATCGCCGAAATTTCGGAGCAGGCCGAAAATTCTGTGCGCCGAAATTCATGGAACGCAGAAAGATATATCATTGATGAATTGAAACAGACTCTCTTCTTGCCCACCTGATTCATTTCGACACTCATGGACAACAAAAATCTAAGACCATAATGCACTTAAACCAACACCCTCAAATGCCTTTTATCCCCAAAAAAAGGTGTGGCTGTGGGTGTGGGGTGTGAGTGGGTGTCGGTGTAAGTTTGGATGCTAATCAAATACAGATATTCACGCACACTCACACCCACACCCACATTGACAGACTTTTGTGTAAAAAGACATTGAATTAGAAAAAGAACAATAGTGACAGTCAATTGAATCTTAACGAGATGAATGATCACCGACGGATGACGCAGTGGGCCTAGAAAATGTAATATGTATAATTACGCATGTGTATAGTTGTTTAGTCTATGCCATGTCGTCACAAATATTAAGCACGGAAGTATCCTTTTCACTTCCTATTCGTACATGAATTCTATACCTAGCAAAGTACATGACCGCAGTTATATGCCATACGTATTATGGTTTCTGTTCTTATATCTCAGCTTGTGAATATATGTGTGTGTATTTGTTGTACTTCATTTGCTCATGACATTAGCAAATAATGGCAAAATATGCTTTTTGAGGAGAAAAGTCGATTAATATAATATCAGTGAAAATCATGTCCCAAGCATTGCATATTTCCTTAGGAACAAAAGTCTTTTTGGAATCTTTCCGTTGTGGCTTCGCGCCGCGCCGCGATGGCAGAAAAAGATAAGCTGCCGCTGCCGAGAACACAGCACTGCAAAAAAGAATTTTTCATCCATTTCCTTAAAATAACTATAGGAAACAAGTGTCTCTCCTTATTTTTTCTACATGAAAAAAAGGTATCTCACTCAGTGCCTACAAATAAATAGTTGAAAATTATAGCTGTGTAGTGAAAAATCCTTGTGCAATAATGCCAGTGACGATATTGCCGTTCGTACAGCAAATACTTACTCGTTATGTTATCAATTCTTATTTTGCACTTGAGATTGCTGGGAATTTGTGCAACTGTATGGTATTCTTACAACCTTCTCATCGCAAGATATCTAGTTCTATTTACTTCCTTGGTATATCGGTATTTTCTATAATCTATCTTATCTGGACTATTTTTCCATTGATGTACGCGGCTGACCATGGCGAACTTGAGGGACAATCATTGGTCTATTGCAAGATGAGAACCTATGGTACTCATGTCATCGGACAGATCACACGGTTTTTCGTGATATTTGCGTGTGCCGATCGATATTTAGTCACACGAGAAAGTGTCCGCATGCGATCATGGAGTTCATATCGAGTGGCACTGAGTATCTCAATTATTATAATCCCTCTATGCATTGTAGTAGCCATTCATTTGCCCATCTACCTGGATATACGCAAAGGCATCTATGGTTTGTTTGGTACCTATAGACGCTTGTACCCAATCTATTTAGTTATTTTTGTCGGTACCCTACCACCAGTATCAATGAGTGTCTTCAGCTTCGCTACGATTCGTAGTCTTCATCGACGACACAATGGACAAGGGCAGAACAACCAGACACATATAAGACAGAAAGATCGAGATTTAATGAGCATGTTGATCGGCGAAGTGATAATTAATCTTTTCACATCAATACCCTATTTGACCGGTCTAGTCGATGGAGCTGTCACATTCTTTGTCGTCGATAAAAGTGCTGAGCGCCTTGAAATCGAATCATTCTATATGTTCTGCGCACAAATTCCGCTTCATCTGTTTGAAGTAACTTCTTTTTATTTATATATTAGTACATCGAAAACATTTCGAAAAGAGTTCAAACATCTT